CACTAAGACTATTTCTGGGGTAGGTCATCAGGGCTTCTTACTCCTTGGAGGCCATGTAGGCATGAAGTCCATTGCTGCGTTGCTGTAGCCAACTGTATTGTTGTACCAGGACATGAGCTGTTGTTGGCAGTCTTGAGTGAGCTGTCATACTTCTCATGGTTCATGCCCATCACAAATATAAGGGCATTAACAGAAGGGGCAGAGATGGTACTCATTCAGCTCCATCCTTCAGGTGGGCTCTGGCTTTCTCCTTGGTTGCTACTCCAGAGCACACTCTTCCCCAGGATCACCCCCTTAATGTTGTCTGGGTCTCAATTTTGAAAGATAGAGATGGATTTCTCATCAGTGATAAGTTTCCTATTTTTAACCTTGACTGCCACAGACCTTGCAGTAACAGCATTGGAACATTTAGACCTTGTAGTTGAGGTTAGTGAAATCAAAGGCAAAGTTGATGGCAACAATCTACTTTGCTAGAGTTGAAGGCAGACCTGGTGGTCAGGTGCCTAATATGGCCAAGTCAGTTCATTCCAGCCTTTTCCATTGTGCCTAAGGACAAGGCTGACATTGCAAAAGAAGAAAATGCAGATGTCTCTGAACCCAGAACTCACTATGTAGATTGTGAGGCTGGCAATGAAGTCAGGCTGCCTCTCCCTTCTGAGTGCTGGGATTAGAGGTGTGCACTAGAACACCAAGCAGACATCATCAATTTTTAAAATTTATCCTTTTTTTTTTCTGTATGAGAACACTGTATTTCTGTCATTCTGCCACCTCTCTTCTAACTCCTTTAGTTTCCTGTCCCCCACAGCTCCCTCTCAAATTCATGACCCCTTTTCCATAATAGTATTGCTTTACACCCTCCCCTCGCCCTCACAACTGGGTCCATTTAGTGTTGCCTCTGTGTAAGTGCACTGAAGGCTGCCCAGTCAGGGCAACCTGTTAGGGGTTCATGCCTAAAGAAAGGTGACTCTTGCTTCCTCAGCATCCAGGAACAGCCTGTAGCTCTTCATAGATGAATATGGCCTTGTTCAGTTTCCCTCCTTCCATGTTGGCATGCTGACTGGTGTGGACTTACACAGGTGTTGTACAGGCAACTGTGTAATTGGGAATTTGTGGATGTAACACCCTTGTGACATCCAAGAGACACTTTCTCATAAGAGTCATCTTGGTGTACTGGCTGTTACAATCCCCACCCCCTTTCTATGTTGTTCACTGAACTTTGTGAACAGAAGTTGTGTTATAGATGTCCCTTTTGGGTCTGGGGATTCCATTGTCACTTATTTCTGCACTTTGACTGTCATGGTTTCTTTGATGAGGTGTCATAGTTATACTTAACTAGAAAGCACACAGATGAGACTTCCTGATTGGCCTGGGCATGCAAAGGCCAGCCCACCTCATTTATTTATTTGGAAAAGTCAGCCCACCCCATCCACCCACCCATCCATCCATCCATCCATCCATCCATCCATCCATTCCTTCACTACCCAGCCACCATTGATTCATTCATCTATCTGTCATTCATCTGTCATTCATCTATCTATCTATCCATCTATCATCCACCCACCCACTTACCACTCATCCATATGCCAAGCCACCCATGTCTATTCATTAATAACTAATCAGTCCATCTACCTATTCATCCCTCTAGTCATCCACCCACCCATCTACCCACCCATTAATCCATCCATCCATCTCTCCATCCAACCATCCATCCATCCATCCATCCATCCATTCATCCACCCACCCATCTACCCACCCATCCATCCATCCATCCACCCACCCACCTATCCATCCATCCATCCATCCATCCATCCATCCATCCATGCACCCATCCATTTATCCATCATCATCCACCCATGCATGCAGACATCTACCCACCTATCTGTTCTTCTATTTGCCCACTCAGCCATAGCAAAGTATATTTCCACAGAGTGATTACTATATGTCAGGTATGGTTGCAGATGCTGAGGACACCACAGAGTATCCATCCACCCATCCATCCATCTGTCCATCTATCCATCCATCCATCCATCCATCCATCCACCCACCCATCCATCCATCCATATCTGTATATCCATCCATTATTCATCTTTCCAACAGCCATCAACCTATCTATCTACCCATCTGTCCATCCACCTATCTGTCCATCCATTCACCCATTCATCCATCTACCCACCCACCCACCCATCCATCCACCCATCCATCTATCCATCCACCCATCCATCCAAACATACATCCATCCATCCATCCATCCATCCATCCATCCATCCATCATCAGTGAACTTGGAGTTTACCAATTCAACTAGACTGGCTGGCCAGTGAGGACCCTCCTGTCTTTACCATCCCAGTGCTGGTTGCAGCCATGGTCACTGCCATGGCCAACTTTTACATGGGTATTGGAGATCTGAATGTAGGTCTTAACACTTGTGTGATGAGTACTATACCAACTGAGTCATCTGGCCAGTCTGTTCAGTTTTCTTTATAAAGAATGTTAGGGTGTTCTATACTTCTTATTTGGCTCACCTTCATATGTGATGTTAATTTCTTTCTCTATTGAGTTCTGAGCACTTCCTTCCTTCTTTCTTTCTTTCTTCCCTCCCTTCATCCCTCCCTCCTTTCTCCCTTCTTTCCTTTTCAAAACAGATAATATCATTGAACCCTAGAATCTGTGTCCTTTGGGCAGTTTAGCAGTTTTTCCCATTGTCCTTTATCTCTTGTGTGACCCTGGCTTTATGATCCTCTAAGCAGCAGCTCTGGAGATCCTAAAGTGTATGCATTTGAAAAAATATACATTCATAGATGAGTAATTTGCTAACTTGAAGTATTTCTTTCAGTTAAAGTGTTTATCATTCACAATTTTTATAAGTGGTCATCTTACTGTGTGTGTGCAGCAGTGAGAGGCTGGAGGAGGAAGGCATCAGGTGTCCCGGCCTGTCAGTTTCTGCCATATACCTTTGGACAGGATCTCTCAATTAACCTGGACTTGCTGGTTTGATTAGATGAGCTGACTAGTGACCCCAGGGACTGCCTGTCTTTACCTCCCATAACAGTGGGAGTACGGGTGCTGGCGTGAATATGCCTGGTGTTTTACCTACATGCTGGGGATTTGAACTCAGGTCCTCATGTTTACATAGCAAGAACCTTACCCACCGAACCACCTCCCTCTGTCCTCATTTCCAACACAAAGCCTGCTGTAAGTTAAAGCTCATTATTTCCCTAACATAATCCTCAATCTTTACCTCTTTTCTCCGTTCTCTTGTCAAAACTTTACCAGAATCATAAAATTTAGGAAGTGAGCAGAACACTGAAGCAGCAATTTTGGATTTTTCATGTTTTTTTTTTTTTTTTTCTCCTGAGAATCACCATTAAATTTCAATGGTGATAAAAATCCTGACTTCTATGACCATTGAGAGACATTTATGTGCACTCACTTACCACTCATGTCAAACTTAAAAGGACCCTGGAAAGTATGTTTTCAGATGTAGAACTCATATTCGTCATGGATAACCGAGTTAACATACTATATGTAAAGTTTACCAGTGGATGAAATTTGGTCTCGAGGTAAAAATCACTACCATTCACTCCAATCAGAGACTTGGGACTTAGGTACAGCTTATTCCACCATTTCCCAATCACTATTCAACCATCTCCCAACACCCTCTATCCTCTTGTCTGTCTGTCTGTCTATTTATTTTTGGGTATAGCATTAATGGAGTCAGGAATCTGGAATGATATTTTCTTTATGTATGTATTCTGACCTAGAGAGTACTTCTAAAAGACATTGGTAAAAAGAAAGTTGCCTCCCTCAAACCTTTGTCTGAGAACTCTCCTGGTGTACTTACTTAGTGGCCATTTCTCTTTTGTGTTATGTGGGATAAAGAATAGTCACTAAATACTCGATGTGAGCATTTGGGGGGATAATTTCTCATTTTGGAGGAAGTCATTTTCTTTAAATTAGAATGCACATGTGGTTAATCAGTGGTCCAGGTTGCTGGGCTGTTGTTAATCACAAGTCTTGCTCTATAATCATAGTGTATTTTGGATATTCTCATTTGTATTATCTCTTAAACTCTTTGTGTGGGCATTCTGATTACTTGATTGCATCTGCTGGGAACAGTGGTTTTTAAAGCAGCATTGATGACAGAGTCACGTAGCTTTAGCAGGTAAAATGAGAATCTGAAAAGACAATTGTTGGTTGAAGTATGATTGTTGCCTATTGCCTTCGAGTCATGTCCCGTGAGTTGCAGCTTGGGATACAGAAATGCATATATTATTGTCCTGTTGCCTGTGGCTTCCTCATCCTGGTGGAGACACAGGTTCTTGGTAGGTAGAGGTCACCTGTCTTCTTACACTGAGCATCAAGAGTTCTTAACTGATAAGCCAACTCTCCAGCCCCCAGGATTGCTCTTAATTAAAACCATAATTGTACCTGTTAAATTCCCACATCTTCTTGTAGATACAGGATGTAAATGTTACTGGCTTTCTCTGAGTTACAGATATCTGTTAATGTTCCCTTCAGTTTGCTGGTGTTTGTGTGATCACAACATTTAACTCAAAGGTGGGCAAATAACTGGTATTTAATAAATGTGGGTGTTTGTGTTCTCTTGCACTTTGTAGAAGACAGTGATGATACAGAGATTTACAAGGCATTTTGAGGGTGAATGTACTGTTTATTTAGTGAGAGCATGTTATCGGTAAGTACAGTGTCATGGAAGTTACTTTTTCAAAGAATATTGTCCACATCAAGCTAGTATTGTCTACTGCTTTGTTCTTGGTGGCCTAGCGTGGTTTAATTTATCTTCACTCTTTTGTGTTGTTAGGTAATTCTATAATCTGTACATCGGTATATTGGCTCACATCCTTATTTTTACATTGGCTATGGAAATAATAATTCAGTATACAACTATATAATTGTACATACCTGTGTAAGCTTTTCTTTGTAAAGAACTGTGACCTCGTATCTTAGTGTCTTGTTACTAAGTTCAATTTGTTTCTCTCCTCAGGCAGCAGCAGATGTCACTTTCATTGGACCTGATACTCATGCAATTCAAGCCATGGGTGACAAGATAGAAAGCAAACTATTAGCCAAGAGGGCAAAGGTCAACACAATCCCTGGTTTTGATGGGGTAGTGAAGGTGAGAAGCTTTCATTTGAATCTCTATGGGATGTGTCCTCAGTCAAACATTCTGTGACAAGTATGGGGTAAAATATAATTATAGTTCTCTCTCACACACACGTGTGTGTATGTATACACACACACACACACACACACACACACACACACATATATATATGAGAAAAAATAGAGTGGTTTAAGTCAGGCTGTTTTCAGTGGTGTGAACTATGAGCAGGGAGAAGACATTATATGTAATGAGTAGATATTGATCTATATTGTCATTGGAGAAAACGTGCATGGGAATGCAAAGACAGACAGATCTCTATGAGCTTGAGTTCAGCTTTGTCGACTTAGCAAGTTCCAGGACAGCCAGGACTGTACAGTGAGACCCCCATCTCCCTCGGCGTCCTATGTAAGCCGCAGCCATGCATCTGCTGCTCTGGACAGCTTGATATCAAGCACTGGGCACACTGGCCATATCAAAGAAGCCAACAAGGCCACAGAGCTTGGTTCCTAAGGTTCTCAGGCTGGGGTCGGCAAAAATGTTGAGGCTTTCTTTCCATCACAAAGGAACCTCTCCAAATGGGCTTGACAGTCAGTTTTATTTACTTAATTATTTATTTTACCCTTGTGTAGTAGGGTCTCCTCCTATGAATCCTGGGCCCCAGGCTCTCGATCTTGCTGCTCTCTCAGAGAAGAGTATGTTTTCCTTATTAGCCTTTCCACTGATAGGCATGGGCCTCTCTTTACCTTGTTGGTGTGTATGTGGGTACAGGAGCTTCTGAGCTCTCCAGTTTGAACCTTATTTAATTACAATGGTGCTGGTGGGCAACAGTTCAGATTAACACTGGCTTCATGAATAGCATTGTCCCCAGGGGATTCAGGAGGAGGCTTCCAGGGAACATTTGTCTGATAACTCCATTTTCACAGTAAATGTTTTCTTATGAAATCAGTGGATATAAGGCCTCCTATGAAGAGGTATTGCTGCTTCATCAGAAGTCTAAAGGTGAAAGTTGTGGGTGGGACACTGGAAATGTGTGGTATGTCATCCCTACCTGTCACACAGGTGCTTTCTAGGTGGCGGAAGAGCTTGTGTAGCATTGACTGGAATTAAGGTTGATACTGTATCATCTATATGGACAAAACTACATGCATCTCTCTATGAATTATTAGAAACTTCTTGTGAGTTGAAGGGCAGACGGAAATGGGCTCTTGATTTTGTGTTAGAGCATTGCCGACTGGAGTTTCCCCCACTTTAGTTCTTTTAGATGATACAGAATAATTACTTTTCCATTATTTTTTGTTTGTTTGTTTATAATCCATAGGTGTCTTTACAGAAAAAAAAGGTACTTAATTTTTGGAGTGGGTTACTGGTTTATTCTGGGTCTTATTTGACTTTTAAATTTTAGTTTGTCAAATGTGTTATAATACTGTATATGTATTCCAATGTATAGGACAGCTGTAATTCTTGTATGCTGTTGCTAGGAATGTAAATTTAATGTGCCATTATGGAAATCAGTATGAAGGGTCCTCAAGCAAAGAAATAGAACTACCATACTATCTATCTGTAACATTCTTGGCTATTTAGCTGAAGAAATCAAACTCATCATACAATAGAGAACTTGCACACTCACGTTTATTCAGGTACTGTGCATTATAGCTGTACAACATATAAAGAAAGTGTGCTATTTATGACACAATGGAGTATTATTCAGCCATTAAGCATAAATTAGGGGGGCTGGAGAGGATTCAGTAGTTAAGAGAGCACTGGCTGCTCTTCCAAAGGTCCTGAGTTCAATTCCCAGCAACCACATGGTGGCTTACAACCATCTGTATTGGGATCTGATGCCCTCCTCTGGCATAAAGTTATACATACAGATAGAGCACTAATATACATAAAATAAACAAATATTGAAAAAGCATAAATTATGTTGGTTGCAGGAAAACATATGGAACTGAAGATGATGTTTAGTGAAATAAAACAGACTCAGAATGACAAATATTTCTCCTAGCTTTGGAGTACGGGGCAGGACAGTCATGAAAGTAGAATGGGGAGAGGCCTGAAGATAAAACGAAGTTGGTTAGATTGCTTGCTCAGTATGCACAAAACCTTGGTTGAGTCCTCAGCTCTGCAGAGTGCTACACTCCTAGCATTTGGGGAGATGGAGAGGGAGTCAGATGTTAAGGTTATCCTTGTCTACATACTGAGTTTGAGGCTGTCTTATTCTACTCTTGATGAGACTCTGTCTCAAAAACAATAATAAAGGAAAGGAAAGGGACAAATGAGGGTGGGATAATTATGGGTAATAAAGGACAAACATGGTCAAAACATCTTTATGCATCTACAAAGTATGATAAGTTTGTTGTTTTACACTAAAAAAAACCAACTTGTAGAACACTCTTTCCTTCCTTTCATTCGTCCTTTTTTCCCTTCTTTTTTTTAGTTCTTGAATTTCCTTTTCATTAGAGAGAGACGAATGTTTAAAATGTAATTTCAAGGAGTCATCTGGTTCCATGTAGTTGTCTTCAATGAATTTAGTTTTATTTATCACTTGTGGGGTGGTTTGAATGAAAATGGCCCCCATAGGCTCATAGAGTTGAATGCTTGGTTCCAGTTGGTAGAACTGTTTGATTAGGAGGTCTGGCCATGTTGGAGAAGGTGTGTCACTGTGGTCGGCTTTGAGGTTTCAGAAGCCCATTCTATTCCCAGTTAGCTCTCTTTCTATCTATTGCTGGCTGATCAGATGAAAGTTCCAGCTACTTATGCAGTGCAATGCCTACCTGCTGTCATGGCTACTGCCATGATGGTCACAATTCTGCTATCCTTTGGAATCGTGAGCACCAAATGAAACTCTGTCAAGTCGCCTTGGTTAGGGCGTTTTGTCACAGCAATACAAAAATAACTAAGAAACCATCTAATTAACTTGTTCTCAGGAAATGGAGAGCAAAGCAAAGATTATAACGTGAGACTGTCGGACAAGAAAGCAGAGCTTTACAAGTAAGGAAAAGGAATTAGCCAACAGTTACTTGCCACTCACCCCGATTGCAAAGAGCTTGAAGTTCCCAAGTGGACCAGCAGCCAGTTTAGCCCATCTCAGTGACACTCATCTCGGTGGACACAGACCCATATAGGAAGGACACTGGACCCAGGTTTTGGGTGCAAGTGATAGCTAAGTAGTGGGTGAGAGGCAGTGAGTTAGGTACAAAGGAGTGTACTGGTGGCACTCATGGCTCTCAGTAATACATGGTCCTGGAGGATCATGGAGCAGAGTGGCAGGGCCCACTCCAGCATGCCATGAAGGACTACAGCAAGAGAGCTGGTGAGGGTTGAGACTTGTGGCCGCCAGTTCTGTGCAGAGCCTTTCCTTTTGGCTTCGGGGTCCTCTAGCCAGTTTCATGTAAATGGTTAACATGAAATAGTCGTGTCAAAAGAAAAGTCACTTTGAGGAGTGGAGGATGTAGTGCCTAGCGCTTTAAACCCAGGTTTCAATCCCCAGCAGCGAGTGAAACGAGGTGTGGCTGTGCACATCTACCATCCCAGTACTTCAGAGGATCAGGAATTCAACAACATCCTTGGCTACTCAGCGGGTTTGAGGCCAGCCCCGTCTCAAATGAATGAATTAATGAATGTAGCATAGAGTTAAAAATTAAGGTTGATACTCAAATTGGAATTCTATTCCCTTTGTTCAGGCAGGAAACGATGGGCCCTTATATAATGTATTGGGGTTGGGGTAAAGCACAGGGCACGTTGAGAATGACAGTGGCAGTTGGGTCAGCAGGGTCGTGAATTGTTAGATGTTAGCTATGAAGCAGAGGGTGAGTCACTGATGATTATAGTTACAACACTGACAAAATGACTTTGTGGGACATGAATTCAATGTCTCTGAATCATTATTGCACTTTAATAGGAACTAATAAGTGCTGCGTTATAATCCTGGCACTTAGGTACTAAGATGGGAAGATTGCTTTGCTTCAAGGCCAACCTGGACTACAGACCAAGCCCCATGTCAAAATTTAAAAAAAAAAAATAAAAAAATGGAGGCATGGGGCTGGAGAGATAGTTGAAAGTACTTGCTGCTCGTCGAGAGGATCTGAGAGAGTCTGTTTCCGAGCACCCACCTCGCAATCACCTAAAACTCCAGAGAATCTCAAACCCCTTCTGCCACTACATTCCTGCACACATGTGACATGCACACAAAACAATAAAGTAAGATTTGTTTTTTTAAAAAGACATGTAAATTCAGCCACACCTTCTAGATGTTAAACAACCAGTCTACTCTCATCATGATGTCACTGTTAAATACTCGCTCTGCTACTCATGGTTCAGGCTGTTTTTTCACAGGTGTGGTACACACACATATACACATAAATTAAAAGTGACAAATATTTTAAAAAGGCAATAGTAATACCCATTTGCACCACAGAGCAGAGTATGGTAATATACTTAAATGAGTTTTTCTATCAGGCAGCCCTTGATATCAAACCCAACAACTTGATTTTCATGCCCAGAACCCAACTGTGAAGGAGAGAACTACTTCCTAAAAGTTGTCCTCTGAACTCCACATGTGTGTGTTCCACCCGCAAAATAAACAAATGAAAGAAGTTGTACTCTTGATTTAACAGAAAGAAAGCTAGTTTGAAGAAATCATTAAAAAGTATAAAATAAGAAAATGGAAAACAACTTCATTCTAGAAATTATAAAATATTAAATGTTTGTATTTTCTCCCTGCTAAGCAAAAAAAGTTCTTTATTAATGATACCTAAAGTCTTTGTGTGTTTATAAAAAAGTAATTTCTCTTGTATTTATTGCCTTGTTCCAGCTATGTTTACTGTGGTGTTTTAATAAGTTATAGAAGAGTATACTAACTATCCCAAGGTTTCTAAAAGCACAATCAAACTTCAAACCTGAGTGTTCATGATTTTAGCATCCACAGAGCCAATCATGCTGGGTTAGAAAATACTTAGGAAGAAAGTTGTGGTTGACTGTACTGAACATACATTTTTTTGTCTTCCTTTTAC